GAGCATCGGGTTGCTTCCCAGGTTGGCCTGGAGTAGGTCGAGGGGCAACAAGGCCAACAGGTCCAACACGAACGATTTCGACTTGAGGTAGTGGCCTGCCAGTTTCTTGCTGTTGTACACCATCAAGCCTTGCTCAAGGTAACCGGTACGGAATTGCACGGCGACGTCGAGAAAGAAGACGAGGTCCGTGAAACCGTCGCATGCGAGCCACGTGGCCGGGGCGACCGCCTGCAACTCGGGCAAACTTTGGCGCACGATCAACGTCCACAGATTGTACAACACGCAGGCGGAGAGAAGCATAAGCCAATAATAATAAAAGTTCTCGTCCGGGTTGACCACGGTTTTCGGTGGCCTCTGCAGCCTTCGAGGCCTTCTTCGCCGCCTCCCGCTCGAGTCCTTCTCGTCGGCCGCGTCCCCCTCCCCCTCGCCCGTGTCCAACGTCTCCTGGCTCTCGGGTATCTGCCTGGTCGAGAACCTCTTCAGGAACGAGTCCTCCCGCTTCAAAGGGGGTTTCTTCTGGATCGTCGAGATGGCGGATGACAATTGGACGGTGGTGCGCAGCTTCATCCAACGTTGATTGCTCTTCGTTCTGGGAACAGAGAGAGGAGTAGATCGCCAGATGAGGGATGAAACGATGAGGGGGAGGGGAGAGGAGCGGGTGGATGGTTCGGAAGTTTCGCGTGTTCACGCGTGCTTACCTCGTGGCGCTCTTTTTGGTAGGGATAGTCTTGTCAGGATGAGGGAATATCAATAAAAATCAGGGATGTTTATTCTTTCGCTGAATGGGATGGGATGATCGAAGGATTTGATTATTTTTAGGTTATTTTTAGTCCATGTGGATTATTTTGTTTTTTTCTTTTTGTAATTTGTTCGAATTAAAATTTAATTTCTGCAGATTTTTTGCATTTATTTTAATAATCTAGTATTATTTAAAAGTTGATTAGAAAAAAGATCTTTGTTCCATTACCAGAAGCCAATAATTCGCAATGATTTACGAATACGAATATTAAATTCATTTTTTTTATATTACTGTTCGTTTGTAGAGTAGAATATCTATTGAATTCATCACAGTTCTACTTTTTCATTTAAACAAGCATCTCCAACAAGCGAATTTTCATTGCCAAATGCGATAAATTTTAGCTAAGCACTAGAGATTCGATGTGTGTACGGTGAAATAGGTTAGGAATTGGTCTGCGCCATTTTGGCGCTCGAGCGCCATGTAGGTAAAGTCACGTGATTCCTAGGGACTTGTAAGATCTTCTTGGTGACAAATAGTAATCGTGACTTGAAATTAGGATTATGTGTAGGATTGGAATGACAATTAGAAATATTACAAGGATATAGAAAAATTGCATTCTTGAAAAAGTTTTAAATTTTGAAAAAAAAAGAGTGAATTTATGTTAGAATTATGCTAATATTAGAAATCGATAATAGAAATATTGTAGGAAAGTGGATAAATTGTGTTTCTTGGAAAATTGAGAGGAAAGTAAATTTTGAAAGCGAGAAATTTTCTCTTTTCGAGAAATT